TGCAGTGGATAGTGGCACCAGAGAATCCCATGGTAATCAGGGTGTGATCTGACCATGACAAGGGGGACACCAATAACTCCCCCAGTTGCAGTTCACATAGCCACTGCTCCAACAGGAACACCAGATCATGAGAATATGGGGCTCTGGATGACATGAGATAGACCCATGGCCATCATGGTGGCCATGAACTCCTGAGCCACCTCAGATCCCATTCCCAGGGAAGGCAGATTAAAATCACCCAAGACCATAAGTCTGGGGAACTGCACTGCCAACCCAGAGATGGAATCAAGGAGCTCAGGCAGGGAGGTTGCTATGTAGCAGGGAGGCTAGTACAATGGCAACTGTCCCAACTGATCCCTAGTTCCTGGAGGATCAGTGCCAACTTCTCTACTTCTGACTAGGTTGCTGTTAAATGTACTGCACAACATTTGTTTCTGCCTCATAGATATGAATGTAGTTTTGAATTCACTGCATTCATTCATTCTGGCATGCAGTGCAATCTGTTTCTAATCACCACCCCCATATCCATGATATCTAATCTTCTCTCATATCCTTTGTTCAGTCTTCACTCTCTGAATTATTTATACCATCCAAAGGAATTTGTAGTTAAAATCTGCTTGTGTTTTGTCTTCCCATTATTCTGTTGTATAATGCATTCATATGAAAACTTTCAGAATACCGCAATACTTCAGTGTAAAAACCTGATAATTCAACAAAAGGCATGTTCTTGCATCATACATTTCCCTCATTCTAAATACAGAGAGAAATCTGCACAAAAGTCTATGTTTCTTGTTACTGTAGGAATATCATACAGAGAAAGAACAATGAATGATCTGTCAGGAATTATTTTGGATCTTGGGGAAATAGTTTTCATTCATGCATCAGAAGAAGCATCAGCTTTACCAGGTAGAGCAGACAGGAAACACGACCAGATAAACTAATTCTACTTTATTGTAAAACTACATTAACAAAATCTTGCAAGTCTGAAAATGCAGTTCTCCTGCTTTCTAACTTTACAGCTTGAGAACTTAAGGAGGGTCCCTTCTGAGACTCTTGCTCCGTCCATTATGCAGCTGCAGGCTAAGCTGTCTCTTATCTGACCATTCCCTTGGCAGCATCTCTTCTCCTGGTCTCCCAAGATCTTTCCCACATATCATTACAAGCAAATGATAGTTTTTGATTATATAACCCTATTTAAATGGTCATTTTATTTTTTATAATTTCTCCTTCAGTAATACATTCTATTATCTTTCAAATACTCTGGGGTATTTTTGTGCAGTTCCCTAATAATCTGACACTGAGAATTGCAATATTAAGATAATGACGTCAATGTTTTTAACAGAGCAGTGATTTCAAAAGAGGAAATGTAGAAATGAGATGAGATACATACCATCTGAAAGAATATCCTGGAATCCTATTCTCAGGGATTTCTCACTTGGTGATGTGTGAACATGCTCTAACACTTCATTTATAAAACAGTTGTCCTGTATAATAATATTACTAATTCCACAAAATTGTCCTATGGTTAGCTTTTTATTCATAATACATCTGAAAGAAATATATTAAAGATTCAAGCTGAATAGAAAGCATTACATTTTATTAAAATTATGTTAGCTGTTTGGAATTAAATCTTTGAAATTGTCAGATTGGTCATTCACATACTGAACAATAGTTATGTTTCAAAGAAAGAATCCGAAGGAAAGTTTATAGACAAAGTTCAGACTTAATATGGTGTAGTGGTTAAGGTGCTAGTATAGGAACCAGGAAACTGTGAATGCTAGTGCTCCTTTAGGCACAAAAGCCATCCGGGTGATCTTGGGCCAGACGCTCTGCCTTAGCTCAGCCCACTTCACAGGGTTGTGGTTGTAGGGTAAACAGGAGGCAGGAGCACTTATGTGTATTGCCTTGAGTTGTACAGAATAGAGATGGGATATATAATAACAGCAACAGTAGATTGATTTTCTCACTCACATGCGCATACCTTTCTAACTATGGTTGTGCACATAGTTCTGGAGTAGGCTAGACATTTGAACATAACCAATATTTTATTTCATATCAATTTTACACAAGTTCTGGGCCAGCAATTTATTGTGTCTTTAGATGATTAACCTTCTAAAATAGTATTATCAGATAAAACTTTATTTTCTGTTGATCTGTCATATCTGGACTACAAACATCTGGACAACTATTACATGGCAAGAAAGGATTGTCTATGGTTCGATCTAATGGATTCTGGATTTTTGAAGTCTAGATATGCTAACCCTAATTTTTGGAATGGAATACATATTAAGAAATTATGGCTATATGGATAGTAAGATAGTTTAGTTTATTTTCTTTATTTGAACTTTTTTTTTTTGTATTTGTAATATCTCATTGATTTGGTTGTGCGTGACACCACCCTATTTAATAATAATTTTTTCCTGCAGAATGCGCCAACCGGGAAGTCCCATGCAGTCATCTCCAGCAGATACACCCTTCAGCAGCCGTAGGGGGAGGCAGCTTCCACAAGTTCCCATCAGGAGTGGCAGTATAGAGCAAGGTATCAAAAAACTAGTTTATAGTTCAAAGTCTTAGGTTCATTTTCCTCTCCGTCTCTCTTCTTGTTTTACAAAAACATCTTGGATCTTGCTTAACAGAATCTTCAGGGTTTTGTTGGTTTCTACTGATAAAGCAGGACAATATTAAAAAAATGTATTGTGAACTGGTGGTGATTGCCTAGGTGATAAAAAAGCTCATGTTTTATTTGTACAGATACAGACCAATTATTTGTGGGTTCATTTATTCTTTGTTTTATCCCCAAGATGGTTGGGGATAACTCATTCTATTTATTGACACATCCTGGATTTTGTTTTATTTTTTAGCTGAAGCTAACTAATGGCAATTTGCTGACAGGAATGTGAACAAGGCTATTGCTAATGAAATCCCTTTCTGAGCATGTCAAAATCCAATGAAAATATGGAGAAAGAATGTATTACTGGGTAAAAGACAAGGGAATATAAGAGAACTGCATTTCAGTCCAAGGCTGGCTGTTGAAAGAAAGAGTCCTCTAGTACTAATACCTCTGTCCTATTTAAAACAACATAATTTCTGAAGTGGAACAAAAATCCACAACTATTAGGCTTAAATTAGAAGTCATATACAATGCATTCATATCATTTGTATTTTTTACATTATGTATTTCGTAACTGAAAAAGTAACAATTTTTAGACTTTTTCTTCTGTATATTATATTAATATCCTACATCTTTCTAGATGAAATATGTGTTGAAAATAAGAAGATTTAAATATTCATCCTTTGCCAATATTTGTAATATGTGAGTTGAATTTCCTAATGAAAAACAAATTAGAGACGTCACTGAGGAATTATTAAAGATGCACCAGACTATATCAATAAATGGTTTCCTATCAATTTGTCATTTTATTTTATATATTTGATGCATATGACTTTGGTGTATAATATACATGTGCCTCTTATTTCATATTGTTATTATTTAAGATCTCTTTTTTAAAAACTTTATGGCCTTATGACGTGTGCTTCCTTAGAGTATCAATAACATGGAAACTGCCAAAAAAAAAACCCCACAATTTTCTAGGAAGAGGAGGGAATTTTTTTGTTGATATTCATATATATTTTCTCTCTTAGCATAAGATCATCCATACATACACATGTGTTATATAATTCATATTGTGAAGTAACATTTTCCCAAGTGGGAATTGTCCGTGCAATTTCTCATTACTTGATTATAGGTACAGGAATCACTTGTCTCATCAAATGATGCTTAGAGGATTTTGTTGGTTGGGATCAATTACTTTCAAACTATAAAAGTGGAAAATTTGAGCAATTTCAATAAAAGAGAAAAAAAAAGGCTTCCTAACATGATTGCTTTTACACTTCAGTGCGTTTAATTTCACTTGTTCTCAGGGCTGATTTGTTTCTCTTCACGTTGGTAAAAATTTAATGTGAATCTAGATTTTTTTTCTGGCTATTTTCTGAAAGTACTAATCAATTTATTATATCAAAAGGTGCCATATCTACATAGCTGATTATAATTCAGGGTGAGTCCACATATCTGCCTGGTTCTTTTTCTTTTTCTTTTTCTTGTTCTTGTTCTTTTCCTCTTTTTCTTTTTCTGTTTTTCATGTTCACTAGATATATAGGGTTTCTACTGGAAAAATCTGCTTACTATCTTTAAAGATAGTAAAGAGATGCAGCTTTAAAAAAATTACCTTGGATGGCTTGGAAAATGTTTTGACTTGAGAATTTTGCCCAAATTCTGCCATGTAGTGTTCTTGTCAATCCAGCTGGAAATGTAAAACTGACATTGGTGTGACTTTGGCTATTAAGCTATTTTTCAAAGGGATTGATTCTTGGAACATAACCCTTAACTTCTAAGTATAAAAGCATTCCCCCTAATCTTAGTAGGACAACACAGAATTCTGTGGATTGGTTCCTAAGAATATCTTTGAGGATATGAGCTCACTTCTGAAGTAATCAACCAGCTTCAGTGTAGGTCTGTTAGAAAAAATATATTCATGATCCTAGAAGATAGAGGTTTCAGGACAGCATAAGATATCGATTTAGCATTATACTAGGACTGATGTAAGTCAAAATCAAGCAAAGGGTTAATTGTAAATCCTTAACAGGTTTAGTTGCTTGTAATTTACTATGCAGAGTTTTGTATCTATGGTTTATATCTGCAGATGATTGCAAAAGAATATGTCAGTTTTCTACTTTTATTATGAATTCATATTTTAGTCATCTTAGTATCTATATACCACTAAACATTAAGGAATAATATTATTTATAACTGAAAGTAAACAAACTTTCGTGTAAGTCTTCCATTACATAAAATGAAGAAACTGATTTCTGGCATATGGAATGTCTGCTATTTCTACAAACAAGATGGGATCAAAAGAAATTAGACATTTTTGTAGTATGGAGTATCTGGAACATGCATCAGAAGGAAAAGAATTTGATAGTAATTTAAGAAATGTACAGTATGGTAATTCATAGGTGGTAATACATACTTTTCTTGCAAACACTGAAATTGTAGTAGAATTTAGCAAATTATTCAGTATGACATCTCTCCTTATTTGCCTGTAGCAAATTGAAATATTTCTGTATTTTGGAAAATAATACCTAGTGTTAAAAAAAAAAAAAAAAAGCATACAAAAGTAAGAAGAAGCTTGAGCAAAAAAAAATACAGAGGATATAATGTATACTTGAATATAGAGAAACAGGTCCAGTGAAAATACACAATTACAAAAACACAGATTATGTGATTTGCTTTTATGGACTTCTGGTTATCGTGAACCTGTTGACTAACAGTGACTTTATTAGTGATATCTATGCCAGCTTATAAGTCTCATTTATTTTAGTGGCATTAGGTTGTCAGTATTATGTTTGGATGACAGCCAGTACCTTATCATGGCCTTTCAAACACATCCGTTTTCTCTATAACACTGTTATAAGATAATAACAAAAAAGTCCTCATATATGTTTCTGACTGAATGTAATTAAAAATGTATATATCTGCTGAATTTTCAGTTCCCCTGTGTGGATAATATGTTAACATACTATTTAATATAGTGCAGTCTTTTCTATTAAAATCTGAAAACATGTTCACTATGCATGAATTTAAAGTTTTCATTGAAGCAGATGGTTTTGTTCTACGCAAAGATGAACAAATTTGGAAGAGATATGTTGCAGAAGATCATGTGCCAGCAAGGAAAGAATTAGGACTGTTGTATCCTAAAGAACCATGTCATTTCAGATCTGCAAACATTTATTCTTTGCAGCGTTTAGAATAGATGATCTTTCTGAAAATACAGGGGTTTTTTTCTGGAAAGAATGTAGCAGGCTGGGACTCAGTAAGCTTTTCATCTTTTCTTAACTTCAGTGAAAATGTGCTGAAGAGGGCTGAATTGTATTATTTCTTATGCCTGATCTTTTACCTAACACACCTTGCTTAATTGCAGCATCTGTAAAAAAAATGCATGCCACCCAGGCTGAGAGACAGTCATGGGTCGCAGTAGACAGTACATCTTAAAATAATCATTACATCAACAGCATGATTACATTCTGGGTTGCAAATACTGGTTTTTAATATATATTTCTAAATCATCAGGACATGTTCTTGGCCTCTTTTATGAGGCCAACAATGTCATATTTTTCTTTTTTCAGAATTGAACGTTGTTGTTTGATTTAATAAAGAATGCTATCCATCACATATTAGACAACTGGTTACCAGAAAGACATATACCAGGTGTGTGCGTGTATATTCTATCTATCTGTATCTCATGCTACAACTTAATGTGTATGTATATTTTTATGGTATTCTGCTCATTTATATCTTAAGAATAGTTTAATCAGGTTCAGAGGCAAAAGATAAAACCTAGGATGGTTATATGCTTAAGACAATGTGGAGTCCTTGGTGCTCTCTGAGCTTGGTTGTTTGCTTGCAGACGTTTCATGACCCAACTAGGTAACATCATCAGTGCCCAGGGGCTTAAGACAATATTTGATTCTGCAATATTTGACATTGTATTATGAGTAGTATAATATCAGTATTTGATTTGTGTCCTTGGTGCTCTCTGAGCTTGGTTGTTTGCTTGCAGACGTTTCATGACCCAACTAGGTAACATCATCAGTGCCCAGGGGCTTAAGACAATATTTGATTCTGCAATATTTGACATTGTATTATGAGTAGTATAATATCAGTATTTGATTTGTGTATACTAGATTGGCTTATTATACAGTGTTTAAAATGCCTGTTAAATCTTGCATAAAAATTATGCCAGCATTCATCCAAGTGCTGTATTAAAGGAAGCATACTCAGTTTTACTCAGATACACAGTATATCTTTAAATAGTAGATTGGGGCTCCATAGGAAAAGGAAGTTGCTAAATAAAATATGTAAAACATTTTGATGGGAAAATATTATGAGATAATAGCTCATTGAAAAGACATAAACTAATAGCTACCCGTCCCTTAAATCTGTTAACGTACACACATTATTGGTTGTATGTGTGACTTTGCTATTCCGTTATTTGCAAAGCAAACTTTTTTTTCACTTCATTGGACTGAGTGCTATTTCTAACACCATCACACAAAAACAATGCAGATCTAATTAAAGTACGATATGTATATATTCTAATTTAAATGGATAAAAAGGAGATAACTGTGTATTGTATGATAATACTACATATTGTTTTTATTTTAGTGTGTGAAAGTCTTAAATGATAAATGATGTGGAAAAAATGGATAGATTCACATCCATAAACTTTCAGCGGTGCTTATGGGCTCATCACGTCAAATACAGCTTTTGAATGACGTTCAAACTTTACAACTTGTAAAATCTATATTCCAGGCCGTGATCCAGCACAATACTAAAAGTGCTGAAGACGGTTAATTTCAGTGAGCTTGAGCGTGCTTACCTTTGTACTGACTCCAGAATTTATAACTTGTCACAATTTTTTTCATCTGTTTCCCCACATTAATTTTCTGCATGTTGCAACAGAGCCTATACTGTTTCTCATTCTCATGTATAACACCATTTTTGTCTAACTTTAAATTGCTGATTTCTTTCTTTTGTTCCCATCATTCCGTGCATTTTATTCATTGAAGAACAAGAGACTCATAGTTCATCATCAAAAGGTAAATATCCATGTCAATTTTACTAACACTACTCATGTTATTTTATCTTTATTCTGCACTAATTTCATATTAATCCATTTCTGTAGGTTACATTCAGTTAAATCGCTGCATTAACCTAAGGTTATTTTACTGACAGGCTGCTACCCACAGTTCAGTAGTTCATCACTGGGGCAACTTCCTCACTATGGGGCAGAGAATGGGAAGAGAGTGCTGTTATCCAAAGTTCCACAATTTTGGAACATTGTAGCCCTTAATTCAGTAGGCTGTAGACATCAAATGGATGAATTCTATGCATTCCAAATGTTTCCATTTTTTCCCTAAAAATGTGGCTTTATTTTTTTAATGATGCTTAGAACCTGCATCATAAGCTTTCAATGCACGTTTCATGCACATAATAAAAGCACATGAAGGGTTCTGTTCTGGGTCATTTCTGCTCTATCCCCATCCTACTGAATAGAACATGTAAAAAAGACGTTTAAAAAGAATTACCTAAATCTATGCAGCTGAATGCACACAAATGCTCTTTTTAATATGCCCAACTGAACATATGTATGTTGGATGTGCCCTACCACATGTTTATTGTAAACATCAAACCTGTATGAAGATGGTCCTCAATTTAACAAATAACAAGATTAACTGTCTCAGATCAGTCATTAGCTGTTTATAAAAAGGGAGAATAGCTAGAATTCCCCTGATCATATAGTACGATCAATCTCCCCAATGCCTTCCAAGTATAGTGAGACTGCAACTCCTCTAATTCTTAGCTGAAGCCCATGATGTTATAGAATTTTAACCTTGCAGTTCCAACATGTTTGGAAGACTCTGGATGATGGGAAACTAATATATATTCAGATGTTTAATGCCTTGTGTCACTTGGGATGCCATAAAAGATGCTGTTCTGAGCTTGTTATGAAATACCTCACCCTCGGGCTCAGCCTATTAATATCTGGATAAACAGATCAAATAATTTCATGATTATTTCCATACAAGATTATTATATTGCAGCATAAAGATTATACTAAGTGAGTTATTAGAAATTTCAGTTAGAAATATGTTCGTTAACAACAACAAGGATAATATCCCAGAGTTAAGTGAACCACCAAGGATGTGAGGAGGTAGGGTTTTATTTTTTGTTAACTTGGGTAGCTGTATTATGTGTAGTTTTTCATATATTCTTTTTTCTATTTCTAAAATTTTTTTGTTCGCTCTTTCTTTAAATTTCTGTAAAATTTGTTAAAAGAAATTTAAAAAAGAAAAGACCTCATTTAAAACCTCATGGACCAGATTCCTTATCGCTACCTTACAGGGGAAAAAAAACTTTTTCTGGTTCCAGCAGGAGCCTTTTCTCTAAAACTAACGTTATTTGATATCCGGGACAATTTTCATCAGGTTTGCAGCATGAGAGAAAAGGGTAATATGTCTCTTTCTTTTGTGTTATGATCCTGATGGAAATTGTCCCTCACCTAATGCTTTTACCTAGTACCTTAAATGTCAGCTATTATTATTACAGCTCCATTATTCCTTATAAAATTCTACCAGTTCCAATTCTTTTTTAACTAATTGTGTATTCCTGGAATTTGCATACAATGGCTTATCATGTTCTACCTAATCTGTAATCTAGAGGATGGAATTATGCTGGTATAATATCTCTGAGGCATGGAGTATCTATTGGCCTGATTTGGATTTTACAGAGTTTAATCTGTGCTGTTATTCAAACCGAGGCAAATTGCCTATGAAAATTGATTTTGCAAAGTTACTATTCCAAAATACATAGATTGTATTCCCTATTCAGGAAAAAAAAAGAGAATAATCTATAGAGAGTATTCTTTCCTGCAATTTCATATTCATCTACTGCTTCAACAGAAGGTGGCTGACTCTATATAGAGCAAGACCTTCTTTTCGCTTTCTAGCCCATTCTCTGAGGACTATTGACTGGGATCTCATGTGGGCTGCTAGCCCACAATTGCCAGAAGAAACCAAAAGACATACATCTACTCCTCTAGGTAAGCCTTATTTAGCACCTTCAAGCATTGGATTCACTTGATTTGAATGGATTTCCCACAGATATTAGCAGAGGAGTGCTTTTCTGCCACTTCCTTGCTGTCTGTTCTAGAATATAGTATGATGAAAACAATACAGTCTGGGAACTTTGGGTTTTTAAACAGCTGCAAAGTCGGAGCAGAAATATAGTGGAAGAGAATGTTCGGCAGCACAACCAATTCTTTTTGAATAATTATAATTAATGTGCTCATGTCCCAGATGGTCAAATTTACAGATCAATTTAATTGCATGGCAAACATGTGAAAATAGACATCCTTCTCTTCCTTCCAGATGTGGTTTTCTTCAGTTACTTATAATTCTTTGTGACTGGGTTATCATCATTTCACTAGACTTGCTTTTCTGAGTCTTTATAAGCTTGTGCTTGTGTCATCAGTGACAGCATCTAGCTGCCATCTTTTGTGTCCACCTCTTTTTCAAATGCCTTGGCTTTTCCAATCGTCAGGATCTCCTACAGTGACTTTTGCTTTTGCACTTTGGGTCCAAAATTAACTTTAGCTTCATTATTAGTGTTTCCAGTTCATCTAATATTGGATGATTGGTTTTTCTTATAGTCCAAAATATTCCCAGCAATTTTGGCCAGCACTACAATTAAAAGGCATAGATTTTCCTTGTTTAATCTTTTTAATGGTTCAGCTTTTGTGGCAGTATTATACTGCCATGGTCTTCACATGTGTATCTTTCTTGCAAATGTGATGGTTCTGCACTTTAATGTTTTGTCAAGATAGTCACAGTCTCTCCCCAAAGTAGCAGATGCTTCTTTATTTTATGGCTACAATCATCATCCCTAGGAAAAGAGAGCCTAGAAAAATAAAGCAGATGAACTTTTGCACTCTTTTTTTCACTTTCAGTGAGAGATTCCTTAAGTCTTCCTTACTTCCTAACTTCAAAGCAGCATATCAGTATATCTGAGGTTGTTGTTTGTTCCAACAATTTTGATTCCAATTTCTATTTCTTCAAGTCCAACATTTCTGATAATATATTCTGCATATAAGTTAAAAAAATAAAATGATAGTATCCATTGATAGTATCCATCCAGGAGTCCATCACTCCTTTTCCAATTTTGAACCATTTAGTTGCTCCATTTTCTATTCTAATGTTCCTTCCTGGCCATCATTACCAATTTTTCAGTAGGCAGATGAAGTGGCTTAGTACATCCAAGTTTTTAAGTGCCAGGTGCTGCTTGTTGGGATCTATTTCTCAGCATATATTCAATCAAAAGCCTTACTACAATCAATAAAGCAAAACCAGACATTTCTACTGAAACTGCCATGTATTTTCCATCAAATGTTATCAATGTGATATTGGGTGCTCCTGACTTTTCTAAATCCAATATGTCCATCTGTATTGTTGAAATCTGGAGCATTATCTTGCTAACATGTAACTGTTCAGTAATTTGAACATTCTTTAGAACTGCCATTTTTTGACAGTGGAAAATAAATTGATCTTCTCTTGTCCTTTGACTGTCACTGTGCTTGTCATTCCTGCATGCAAAGCATAAGCTACACTTTTAACTCTATAATTGCATAAGATTTTTAACAGTTCTGTGTGTATTTTATCAACTGATGCAATTTTGTTGTTTCTAGTATTTAACTTTACAGTCCATAATGTCTGATTCTGGTTTAGTGTTCAAACCTTTGTATATATATATATAGAATTTGGGTTCTTTCCTATAGTCATGCTATCTTTTCTTTATATCCTTTTTCTCCATTAGATCTTTGCCTTCTTTGTCTTTGTAATGCCTATCTTGGCATAAAAGTTTCCCTTGATTTCTCTAATTTTGTTAATAAAGTTCTTATCCTTTAGATTGTCATCTTCAGTTTCTTTGCATTGCTTATTTAGATCTGATTGATTGACTCTTCTTTGTAACTCAGTGTTTAGTTGGACAAAATCTTCTTTGTCTCTGTTGCCTTTTGCTTTCTGCCTTTCTTCAGCTTTTGTCAACATATCAGCATACAGCCATTTTGTCTTCTTTTACTTTTTGCCTTTTGGGATATTTTTGTCACAGATTTCCAGTTCAGAGTTCTTCAGGCACTCTGTTTATCAAATGGAGCACCAGGTCCTATGTATGTGGACTGAATAGAACTTCTCTATCTTTGTTTGCAGAGCATATAGTCAATTTGATTGCAGTGTGGTCCATTCAGTGATCTCTGTGTGTATGTAGTGTCACCTTTTAGGTTGTTGGAAGAAGGTGTTTGCTATGAGCTTTGAATTTTGTTGGTAGAATTCTATTAATATATCGCCTGCTTCAGCGTATACACCAAGACCAAATTTTCAGTTATTCCAGTTGCTATTTTATGTCCAACTGTATAATTCCAGTGTTTCATAACTGGTTGGGGGCTTGTTTTTTGTTTTTTGGGGGCGGCGGGGGATGTTGATAAGGTATTGCAAGTCGCAGTAGAAATGTTCAACATTCATTTCTTCTGCATCTGTGGTTGGAGCATAGATTTAGATCATCATAATGTTGATTGAAATTGGACTTTAGACCCAAATTGAGATCATTCCATCATTTTTTGGGGTTGTATCCAAGCACTGCCTTTGAGATCTGATGTTCCTCTGATGCAAAGCAATCCATTCCATTCTATTGCTAATTCCCAGAATATCATTGTTCAGTCTTGACATTTGTGCTCTGACAACATCAATTTTGCCTTGGTTTATAGTTCTGGCATTTCAGATACCATTGGTTTTCATATCTTTGCAGCACCTAATTTTTCTTTGGTGTCTGGGCACATCAGCAGTTGGATAATCTGTCAGCTTTAGTACAGCCACATCATAAGCACCAGTGCTACTCATATTTGGTCTCTCCTCCTTCCTGGTAGCTTGCTGGAGGGCTCCTCTTCCAGTATCATGCTGGTTGGTTATTAATGTCCGTTTTGTTTTTTTGACAGAAGAATAGATTGGGTTGCCATTTCCTTTTCCAGTGAATCATATTTGGTCCCATC